CACTCACGTCGTAGGGCACGATGACCGATGAGATTGGATAATATCGTCAATGTCTCAACAGTCTTTCCTGCTTTTATATCCATCCCAGGACGTCGCACTCATTACCACATCGTTGGCAATGAGACAACCAGTTGTAGAAACTCATTCTTTATCTTTCTTTCTTTCACTCTTGGTCTCTCTTTCTCGATAGCTTTGAACTAATCCAGTTTTACTTTTAGATTGGTTGAAAAACTAATAACTATAACACCTGGTAGCATGTTTGTTTTATTAATTATTTATGAGCGTGGGTGAATATTTATTGATAGAAAAATTTACTGCTTACATTATTTATGTCTATGAACAAGAAATAATCATTCTCTCTTTAATCTTTACTTCAAAACATGATAACTATTCTATCATTTTTCTTAATGACCATTTTTTCAAACTCAATAATCAATAAAATCATTTTATTTATTAATATAGTTAACACGTAATGGATGATTTTCATGAATATATTTACACGTTTAATAAATAAATACTTTTCAGTAATAAAAATTGATGTTATTATTAGTGAGAACTTCAAAGGAAAAATTTATCATGGTTGCTATTTAACAGAATTTCAACATTTTAATTGCAATAATAATTTTTGTTCCACATCAATGAACAAAATGTGAGAAAATAATTTTCCCAGTATTTAAGGATTATTTAATACCAGCGCTACATGCGAAAAATAATCCAAACATTTTGCAAATGAATTATTTATTATAACATTGTAATCAAATGCTTTATGAAAATGTAACTATCAGATTCATTATTCAACGCTACTATGTATCAACTAAAGATTACGTTACGTTCTGCCATATGTCTAACAAACCACATTATATCGCATTAAAGGTGTAGGTAATGTATATTCGTCTCGGTTTCATCGCGGATTACATATACCTATATGAAACGTATGAAACACTGACGAGAAATATTTTATAGCTACTGCTTGATATACGAAACTCGCTAAATGCAACATAACAGCGTTATATGAAGAGCATTCTAGAGAAGAAAAGGAAAAATATACAAAAGACTTGTAATAAAATGTTTGAGTGCTAAATAGCAAGTAGCGGTCTGCTTGCTCGAGAATTTCTAACTCATGGACTGGTGATTCACTGCGGCCTTAATCACGATGCGTATTAAAATTTTTCATTAATTTATCAGAGAAAGCGTATGAGAGACATGGGCATTGTCTTTTTCTAACTCGGTTATGTTCTATTTAATTATACACGTAACTGAACAATTAATAGATTATTACGTAAATAATTATTTCTAATGTTTTTGAAATAGTCATTACTTGAAAAGTCGTTAAAAAATCGTTAAATATATTTTTCACAGCTGTTATTATTAATTTATTGCAACAGATTAGTGATGAAAAAAGATTATTTCTCTAAGCAGTCCAACGAAAATGATTATTTCAATAAAAACATTTTGTTTATAATTTAGTTATTAATTTAAAATGTTTAATTATCAGCTCTAAATATTTTTCCAAGCTTCAAATCATTAGAAAGAATTTAATTAACGATAAATACGGCTTTTAATTGTTCTAAAAAATAAAACTAGCCGGTATTTGAAAATGATTAAATGTAGAAGAAATTATGCTGATTCCTCATCCAGGGATAATCAAGCTTTCTCACGCCCTAGCATCATAATCCAAGTCTAATCCTATCTCTAATTTCCATCTTAATTGACTTAATTATTAACTCATTCAAATCACAAGTTTAAATATCCACGTACTGTTGTTTAAACGAAGCCAATACTTGTCGCAATATTTGTTGAAATTGTTTGCGTGACTAAATGAACGACAAGCTGGGCTACAGTTCCACTGGGGAATGTCCCCAGCTAGCATTAATCCTTTTTCATCCCCTACCATTTTAATTCGATCTCACTCATGTTTGTAAATTGTATACTACCATGTATATACACACACAGGGCATGTCATGCTGTTACTGTCAATTGTCTTCCACTACCATTTAAACTGTCACTCCTTTCATTCAATTCTTCTGCTTGTAGAAGAATGTTTTACTTGGCCAATTATTATTCGAGAAAACTTTTAAAATACTCAAATTACTCGAAGAGGAAATTAAGTAAAATAAAAATGAGAAAGACGGTTCCGGTTCTTTTCTAATTATGACTTTAAATTTTCATGATGAAATGGATTCTGTCGGTGATTACCCAAGCGATAAATTGGGGGGGGGGGTGGTTTTGTCTTTTTTTCCTCATTCATTCTTCCTCAGTCTAGTATTACTCTTGAAATAGAGAGAGTATTTTTTGGAATCACTGAGACGTCTGACACTTACTTTCCGTTCATCATCTTTCTCTTTTTTTTCTTCTTTGAATTCTTGTTTACCAATGAATTTCCTTGGCCAACAAAAAATGAAACCATCAATTCATTCCTCGATGTAGTTTTATGAAAAATGTTGAACTTTATTGTGGTTGTAATAAATTTTTATTCAAAAAAACAAAAAAGAAAATTCCAAATAAGCTGAATATTTTTCATCAATCAATTATTTCTCATGTTTTTTTTTGCATGAAAATGCAAAATGCTTGTATTTTTAATATTATTTGCTCTTGAAACAACATCAAGGCTACTAACTTGGTACATATATAAGTCAGAGTATTTGAATGTATATACATGACATGTACACTCAATCTTCTTGATGTTTTGTGTGCACGCGATTTATCTATAAAAATGTCAACATCGCGTTGCTATCTCGGGAATTCTGAAGAAAAAGCTTGAAATTATTGCTACAGGATAAATTTCATTTCATCACAAAATCGCTAGTAGACAAAAAATTTTTGCTCAATGAACATAATTATTAACCGAGTGAATTGTAAAAAATAATACAAGGTACATACAAATAAGTAAGAAATAATATATATATTTTCACTGAAGGAATTTTAATGAGACACGATGAATGCAGAACGGGGGCAAACTCATCAATAAATAATCACAGGAACAATTAGTTACGGGGTGGAGGATCCGTGCCAATTATACGAATCAGGTGACTTAAGGTATCCAGAGCGCGAATGTTCAAGATTACGTACGTCGTGGTGTTCTCGTCATTACGCACTTACTTATTCAGTATATTTGATAAACAAGAGCATGGAAAAAGAATTATGCTTTACATTAGAAAAATTTTTACAATGATAATCATCACTAACATTACTAGCAATAAGTTCTAGAATTAAGAATAACAATGATTTACTAATAGAATACCACTCTATTAAAAATAATTATTGGGTATCAAACAATAATAAACTTAATAAAAAATATTGGATGGTATTGGATAAATGTTAAATAATTATCAAGTATAAATAAAGTTAAAGGTTTCAAGATGTTCTCCATTCACTCTTCACCCGAGTTACCATGAATAAAGAAAAGTCAGCGAGAAATTGATAAAGATTAAATGCAAATAAATATTCTACGACACCAAACAATAGAACAAAGCTATTAATTAACAGCTTAATAATGTGATGAACGATTGGCAAAGTCAGAGTCAAGTGAAACCAATTTTTCTGTGCTAAGGACAAAAAGATAATGAGAAGTGAATGGTGGTTAAAGAAAAATGGCTTAAAATTCTATTGTCATGACTGTTATGAGTTAAGAATTCATGGTATTACATGTCATTGTTAGTTACGACAATCGATCGTGTGTCGTAATATAAATGCAGTGAACTTTAACTCAATCCCAGCAGCAGCAGAAACTGCAAGAGCAAAAAGTGCCAGAGACACAGAAAGACCACAAACGGCCTTGTCTTTTACGTTTGCCGCAATGGAGACCACACATCTGTATATGTAATCCACATATACACTCGTGTATAATTTATATAATATATATCTATGTAGTGGGTGTTACTTTCTTGGGTTGATTATATATACCTTTCACCAGTATACTTTGCAGACGACATGGACACCTCTTATAGATATTATTCTCTTTATATAATATATTTTCTTTTGGCAAGCAGACAAGATTAAGGGCGACCACCCGGCACGATAATTGCACGTTAATTGCGGTCTAGACTGCTAATTGCGCGGAATAAATTAAATGGAAACCTACGCAGGGATGAGAACTTAAGGATATATCCTTTTTACTAGACCACTGACTTCTGATCAGGTTTTTAAGTTGGTATACTATTCCAGTTAATTTGCTCATTGTTTTATTTACTCATTCACTTCCCAGTATAAAAGGAAGTTGTTAGAATTGGTTCGATTACCGGAAATAAAAATTTTAGTATAAATTTATACCATCCCATACTTGGTCTATTGATCAATGGTAAACACCCCTTTGAAAATTATTTTAATAATACAGAATATTTGCTGGTATTGAATTATTATATTTTACTTGGATTAAAAAAATCATGATTTTAAAAATGGTTGATAGTTATTTTATTAATTGCATGAATAAAAATTTTTGCCAATTTTATACTGGGAAGTTTTTAGTATGGACATCCGAACCTCACTTCTTTACATCCAACAGTCATAGAATATTACAGTTATTATTATTTTTTATTTTAATTAGGTAATTACTATCCCTTGCTTATTTTATTATTTACTATTTTATTCAATTTCGATTTTATTTAATCAGTAAATCACAATCCATACATTCATCATCATTTTTAAACCATTTCAATTGATCATTAATATGTTTAATTTCAATCATTAAAACCGGTTTCATATTTCATTAAAATACTAATTGGCAATAATTTATTAACCCACTCGTTGTGACCTTGTGTGTATTGAATTTAATTAAATAAAATACCTGCGATTGGGTTGATGTATTGTTAATAATTAATATGTATATTATCATAAATCATGATTGTTTTATTCGTCATGCAATGTCTCTGACAATAGTCATTGTCATTATTAATTATTATTATATTAATATTAATTCTTATTATTATTATCATTAGTCATTAATTATTTGCTATTTTGTTTGAGTTGCAAGTCCCCAATCCTATTCCTAATTTGTGTTCCAGATTTCCTTACATTACTCATTGGCGTGACAACTCGTTACATTCCATCGACAATAAATGTGACACACTGCCAACAACTAACACTGCCCTAGTCATCAACTGCCCTTAAGAAAAAAACATGTTGTCTGATTGGAAACCATCGGAAGGACCAAAGGAACGTGCAAAAATTAAGGAGATTTCATTCAACAAACGATGAGATTGATCATTCGTGTGAATTCTAGTGATTGTGTTAATTTGGGTAATTTAATTAATAATATACCCACTAAAAAGACATTATTGAGTGCGTAAAAGGTGGAGAAAGATGTTGGGTGTGAGTCAGCCGAGCAATCCACCTTCTAGTTTAAGACACTCGGCAAGTTTTTCATGTCTTCAACGTTCATCTGACGGAGGTCATCGTGCCAGAACTTCAACACTTCCTCAGCAGCCAAATATTCCGTTAACAACCGTTCAACATCATCATTACGGGGGTCCTAGTTCGCTACAGCCTACTGCGTTATCTCACTCAAGGCATCTAGAGAGTGATTGCCTTGCTGATAGTAACGACTACGGATTTGTTAGGACAAGGCCAAGACTTCGTAGCACAAATTCGACAATATTACGTGAGGAACAAGAACGTCAACACCAACAATTATTTGAACGTGAAGAGTGTGTTTATGCCCAGTCGTCTAAAATTAAAGATCGAGAACTTTTGGAAGCGTCAAGAGCACGTGAGGTTGTTCCAAAGAACCAAAACCCGTTGAAAGGAGCATTAATTCTCTTCACGACTTCGACATCTTCTTGGTGGAAAGCGAAACAACGTGAGGAATTGGGTACCTCCCTTGTTACTCCATCAAGTATTGAAGGAAGGAAGTGGTCAGAAGCACCGATGACGCCACCGTCTACGTCTGAGAGAAAGTGGCTTGGTCCACCTGGATCAGTCCCCACCAGTGAGCGTAAGTGGTCCTGCAACTCGATTGTGACCTCGCCAAGCAATGAGAGGAAGTGGACGAGTGCTTCAGTATCACCTACGTCTACCAGTCAGGATCGAAAGTGGAGATCCCTCGGGGCACTTCTCAGGACCCCTGTAACAACCTCCAGCAGCTCGCACGTGAGTCAAAACTCGTTCGGTCAGAACATGAGTGTTTCCATGATTGAGAATGGAGCAAGCGAGAGTTTTAGAGAATGTGCAACAGTCGGCCCTTCCGTGAAGGCTTTAAAATACCCTCAGCCTACCTCATACTCTGCTCGAGTTTCCAGAACTAGTAGAGATACTTACAGAGACAGTGGGGACTTTTCTCAAACAAGGTCAAGCAAGGTCAGTAGAAGACTTTATCAAGATCTAGAGTCTGAGAGTGCTGGTGAGGAGCAAAGGAGAAAAACTAGACATTCAGAAGACGAATGTAAGGATAAAGCAATAACAGAACTTAAATGTGAGAAAAGTCACACTGTTGAAGCACGAGTTACTTCAACTCGGTCTGGAAGAGCTCAAAGTTTCTATCTGTTGGATGATTTCCTAAAACCTCAACCCCAGTCAACATCTGAATGTTCAATTGACTTCAATTTACCACCAGATTATGGATTGAGAGTCGGAAGATCTAGAGAAAGCAAGCAAGAAATGATGAACCGTATGAGAAATTTGAAAAATATAACACCACCAAAAAGACATAATTCAAGCTCGGATAGTCTTGAAGTAGCTACAAGTCCACTTCCACCTCCAGTACCTCCACCGCCACCCCCGGAGGTCAATAACATTCGAGAGAAGGAGAAACTTGAAAGTAGCAGAGAACGAGAAGCGTGTCCTTGCAGAATGTGCTGGGCTAACATGCAGCAGAGGTCCTTCCGTGATGAGGTAAGTGATTAATGACTCAAAAGGATATAATACTAAAGTTATTCCTAGTTAAATAACGATGATGATGATGCTTTTTCTATTCTACCGTTGAATCTCATTTTAAAGTACTTAAATATTCAAGGATTGAACAAGCATTCAACTTTATATTATAGCCGGTAAGACGAAGTTTCCATTTTTACACTTGATCGTTGAATTTGTACAAGTATTATCAACTTTTTATTTTCATGAACAAAAACGTGCACTTGTATCTTAGAAAATTTCAATGGAGCGCAAACTCCATTTTCCACCCCAAGTCCTTTTGCAGTCTATTTCTACACGCGGTAGAACATTGGATCTACGTTATCTCCTCTCAGCTGGCACTGATTAATTTTTTTTACCAATCTACCGTCGCTAGGCTTTTTTCTGTTCCAATTATCCGACGATGCATTTCACTTTAATTTGCGCTACAGAAGTACGCCTCAGGATAAATAATGCTAGCTTACAAATTATTTTCAGTATTTTAACTGTCTCGTATCGGTCATATAATTTCTTTTTTACAAAAAAAAAAAAGATTCTTTTTTTCAATCTATTTTTATTCATTAATTTTTTCCACTAAATCCATTAATTACACCTAGTAAAAACCAATAATTAAATCGTCCCTGTCGAGAATAATATTCTCACTACTTCATTGAATATTTAAAACTTTAAATTATTTAAAAACGGCATTGTCATTTAGTTGAAATATTTTACTTTCTACCAATCGCTGACTATTAATCATGCATTGATTTATTTGATAAATTCATAGAACAAAAATATTTCAACCTTTTCAAATAGATAGGAAACAATTAAAAACTGATATCCATATAAATATTAATTTTCGATAAATTGAAAACGATTTCTCCAATCACGATAATGTCGCAATGCTCTACATATCTTTTTCTCGAAATCGATCACATTCACGATGGTAATAAAGATCGTGAGCGAAGGGGAATCACCGATGAGAATCTTGTCTTGCAATCGTGCAATGTTTGCAAGGAGTATCCAAATGAACATTGATTTATCTATAAAAAAGATATACTCTCTCTTGTTTTTAACTTTTACTTCTTTTCATTTCATTCATTTCATCAGGTCCATTAATAACTTTAAATTAAATTTGTTAATATACACATAATTCAGTATAGTAGTTGTGAAATTTATATTAATAGATCGTTAACTTTGTTCTTCTTAGATAATACCAAGTAACGAGTAGGTGATGTCGAAATGAATCGTTGATCCTTGACGTCGATGATGAGTCTTGAAATATATATAGATATAATTGACCAAATAGGCGTTGGTTAGATGCAATTATATGTTTCTATGGAATTTATATCATGATAATAAACCAATTTAATTTCTAATGATTTCTTTGGAGATTCTAGATGCTGAAAAAATAGATTATTTTGATAGTTGAAAAACGATTTCCTTTTGTTTCAAACTATGAGATAGAGTAGAGAGTAATAGACTAGACGAAACAGTTCATTTATTTAGAAAACTATCAGAGAAAGAACTCTCGGTGAAGTTTAATCAATTTCCAGTCTACTTCGGTATTCATTGTACTTATACCATTTGTCAGTTTTAATTTAAAAATTAATTCTCATGTCTTCAAATATATTATTCATGAATGAGAAGAAAGTTATAGCCAACTTGAAAAATTTTTTTCAATGTTACTAAGAAATATTCAGTTTTGCAAGTTAAGAAATGATTTATTAGAAGACATAAGTGAATGATTTTGATTGCAATGAAATGTCAATATATCATGTTTTCCTTTTTGACAACCCTATGTTACCTTCTACCTTCTCTGGCTGCTAAGAAAACATTTATATACTGTATTTGGTAAAAATAAAATCGATTAGACTCTATTCACTAAAGAAATAACTAAATAAAAAGCTTGCTGTGATATAACGCAATCGATTCTCACATCAAAGTAGAGGAATGAAAAAAAAATTATTTAAAAAAACGTTGACAACAACAATACAGCTCACGAGATCTTTCATCCGATATATTTTATGTCGTTCATTCGTGAATTTCCAAGCAAATCGCGATGGCTAGAGAGAAACAGGCTTGTTTATCGATTTTATAACTCGACCGTGTAGTTGAGGTAAAGCATGTAAAGTTCATTGTTAATATTTATTTTTGTTCAAGACAAAAATATAAAACCAATATTAAATTATTTGTTCTATTTTTGTCTCAAGAATTTTATTCGATTTATTGAATTTTTCTCTGATAGCAACCAAAAATTCTAATAATAAGATGTATTATTCATCAATCGTTTGGGTAAGCTTAACTTGGTACCTTATGCTAATACAGCACCTGGAACAAAATGGATGTTACGGTCAGTTGATGTTATGTCAAACGTAGCATGACCATTTACTCCATTTCTGTTAGGTCAATTGTTAGTTTTGAAAACCCAAGAACTTTCTGTATACCCATCTCCAGATTTCAAAACATCCGTGAGAAATCATTTTCTTCAAGCTACATTAACAGTGAAAAATATACGTGTTATTTCTTCATCTTCAATATCTTACACAAAATCTTCGAAATTTTCTTCACCAACTTTTCACGTGTGACTGAATTACATAATGGTTGTCATCATTATCAAGACAATTCTCATCATTTTTATACCGTTCATCAAAAATATCTGAACAATTCATCCAAGAAAACATGCTAGATGGTCTGATTTCTTTAGTATGTAATGATTAAAAAGAAGGTGCTTGTATTTAAGTTCATTAGAGTCATTGTTTGACTCTCACTAGGTCCATTGTGCTTGATAAATTATTTTTTTCATTCACTCCTGCCCCTACATTTTTTTTTCTAACGTTCTTTTCTTCTCAAATCAGTTCATTTTGTGATTCATCTCAACCTCTTTTAGTAGTAGACTTGTTTTTTAATTAATTACACCTTTCAAACCTACATTTAAATATTGTAATAATAGGGTCCAAGATTAAGAGCTTGAATAATATTGAGTAGGTTATAATTAAACTATTTACGGGTATCTATTGTTAAATAAAAATGTAACGTGCTTTACGATTTCCTATGTCGTGTAGTTTATTGATCTTTAGTCTATATAGATATAATTCTTCTTTTCAATTCCAGATTAACAAAGAATATTATTTTTTTATGAAAAAGTCTAGCATGAGTTTGGATAATAATCGATAACAGTATTTTTTAGCTCTGGATGTATTATTCCATTGTGAGCTTGCATAACAATATTACTTCAGATAGAAAGTAGAAAGTAAATGATATTCAAATAAATATATAATTGATTTTCTGTACATCAATTTTTCATTCGGTGATCTGTTTCGTTTAGACTTAATTCATCACATCACATATCAATAAGAAAAGTTTAGAAACTACAATTCATGCTTAAAAGCCCCAAAACAGTTAGTAAATGCGGGCAGGATGAGGTGGATTACATGAATGGTTGTCTGGTGACAATTGATATCTGATCATGAGGATGATAATCATGGTGGTACCCCAAGGTTTGTTGAGTCATTGAGATTAATCGACGTGTGTCTTTTGTGTCAACAAAATCACCATCATCTTTGTAAAATGCACCTATCAATAAGTAAAGAATGTCTCTCAGAGATCATTGAACAGTTATGACGGATTTGTGATCACAAAGAGATGCTTTTAGGGATGGAAGGTCCAGTAGGCTGGCGATGAGAATGAGGAAAGAGGTGCTGGTGGCTTGTAAGATCCAAGGAGTAAGATAGACCGACGATGTGAATATCTCACGGCAAAATCTTTGGGGTCGGTCGTTGTCCATCGAATGAGGGTGATTTATCGTCATTGAAATGCACTGTGGTCGAAAGTAAGAGAGAGAAAAACAGACGAAGAGGTAGGCCAATCCTCTATCGTTTCTTTTCCTGTGCATTTCTCATCTTCACTTCTCTCTCAAGTCCACGCCCTGGCTTCGTTCAATGTCCGATAATGTTAACGTACCTGTCGCAATGTAAAAGAGTCCGAACCACTCGAGATTAGCTCCATCATCCCTCATTTGCAAGATCACAGACATCCTTTGATCATCCAAGATTTATGTTCGATATCTTCCATGAGATTTTATGTGCTTCTATGTAAGTGATTTCAATCTTGCTTTTTTTCTGTGATCAATCGATAAACATTTTACTCGCAAAAGTTACAAAATCACTGAGTAATGAAATTATATTTTATCTTATAGATAATGGATATTTTTAATTATCCAATCTACTAAATTATTCTCTTCAATGATTATTATCATTTCCATCATGATTAATTATGAGTTGAACATAATTTTTCAAATTAATCTTGAAGTAAATATTTATTTTGAAAATCTGACATTGGAGTGATAATAACATTCAATACAAAGTGTGCCTCATTATAGCATTCACAAATTAAGTGAAAAGTTTGATTTTTCAAGTTATTTACTTGTCATTTTGTCACGGTTTAACAAAACAGATATATAAGTAACTTGAGAGCTTCTTTAATGCACACAATCGACATAGTTTACGACAATTTGTAGATAACTGGGCAACAAACAAACAATTCTGAGCTACAAATCTACATTCCACGGGCTCTTGGTCACCATTATTCTAAATATATACTTTAGAAGTCTAGAGCATGTATCTACAAGCGCTAAAATATTTTCTAATTGTCACGAAAGAAGGTTCAAGTTTCCAACTCTTCAAAGTTTTCCCTTAGGTACTGTTATATTTTCCCAGTCACGTCCTTTTTCTCTTTATCAGCATACCTCTCAAGAATCCTAACATCTTTTTTACTGGCTTCAAGGAATAATGTTTCTTCTTCTAGTTTTCCACATTCATGGGTTTTATCCAATATATATTACTTGAGTATATTTATCTTTTACGTTAACATATTTAATCTGTGCAAATAAGTTTTGAGTATTTAAATAGGTAAAACATGTGTATCGTGACTCTCCTCATGCAGAGAGAGAGCTGTACAACTATTTCTGAACCACACACTAGCCTGGGCGTTCCACGTTTCTCATTTTCGCTCTGCAACCAAATATAGATCGAATATTATTTCATTGAATAACATCAGGCGGAAGAAATAAAAAAGAAAAAAAATATATAAAATATATTTCCTAGGGGGCACGTGGATTTAATTTTAGATCATTAATTCGTCAGCTTTTAGGCTAAAAACTTACTGGGTGAATTTATTTTTCCAATTTATCTTATGATGATTTCCCTCCTTTATTATTATTTTTGTTACTACAAATCTTCTGATTAATCCAACAACCTAAAATATATCTTTAGAAACTCCAGTTCTCCAAGACTTCGGTAATTATTCTTCATGGCTTCTCGTATATTTGATGAATTAATGATACATCAAGTAAAGGTTATATCGTGAAGTGGAATGGAATAAAAATTGCTAGGAAAGTAAATAAACAAGTAAGTTATAATTAGATAAAATTAGAAGAAAATTCTTTGACCTATCTATGTTTGAAAAGTTACAAATTTAATTTTTCCACTTAACCCACAAAAGTACAAACAAAGCATGCTTGATGACTTTGTTGATGTTTCATAAGACTATAAGTTACATAGTCACCTTTTGAAGATAGAAAAAAAAACCGCTAAATATTAACCAAGAGAAGCATTTGAATTACGGTAGCTACGTTAATCGTTTTATAATCGAGACAAGTTTATGCATGAGCCGTTAAAACCACAAAAAAGAGCAATACCGCCGTTTCTCGCTAGAGTTTAATCACCCGCAATTCCCCTGCTCTTCACCGTCTCCTTGCCTATTAACTGCCATCTAACTTTTTTTTCATTTTCTTCTATGAATAAAATTACAGAATACTACTTTATCAATAGACAGAAAATTCTCGGATGGTAACTTTATTTTGACCGACAAAGCACAAATTACCAAGCGATTCTTCACCGCTAGATGTCTCTAACGCTGTCTTCACTATGCGTTGTAATTAATTCCGCAGTGTGATAAAATTACCGCTGTAATTATCTTTTAATTACTTTTGACGCCAGGAATTACGTGAAAGACAATTATTCGGATGTATTTTATTTCCGTGATGGATAATGGAAACTGGGTTACTTTTAAAGAAAACTAGAAAAAGGTTGTGTTGTTTGTATAGAATAATACGAAAGAGATTCAAAGTTAAAATAAAAAACAACATGCATGAATTAACCTGACACATGTTGGAATACATTGAATGAATGTTTTTGGTTATAACAAACCAATAAAAAGACTAATCGAGTGGTTTGAAATATGAAAAAGTACTAACGGGATACAAAGAAGTTGCTTGGTAGGTCAAAAGTAACCGAGTTGAATATAGAAGCCAACAGTTCAGTATAAAAAAGTTATATTGGCGGTTTAAAAGGAGTAAATTGAAATCTTTGAGACATTTTTCAAATCTTTTTGTTATCCTGTTAAGGATCCGTTTGTATATACACAGTGCTTAAGTTATTGTTGACCCGACTGTCAAGAGTTCCCTGTAATGAAAGCTCGTATTTTTCAAAGTTTATTGCATCTCCTCTTTCCTCCTCACGTTAGTACATCTTCTGCCTACGCTTCTGTAATGATACCGAGCTGTAAGTAATCCTGTACCTTCACGATAATTACATAATTAATAAAAAAATTTTTTAATCTGAGTTCTCATTAATTTTAAATTTTCTTTGAAAAAACAATATTTAAATTCATTTATTACTAGGTTAATGACCTTTTTAACAATTAAACTTTTAATCTACACTAATTTGAAACAGAACTTTATTGTTAAGCCAAAAATTATGTTAATAGAGTTTTAATTTTTCAAATAATTACAATTCTTAATGAATTATTATTAGAAAAGCTAAAAATATTTTATTTTCAATGATTATGTACTCATTTTCTTTTAATTATAACTAATGGATACAATTTTTATATAAATATTTTATGTCCTTATTTTTAAATTTATAAAAAATTTTTGCTTTACTAAGTGTATATATTAGATCAGATTGTATCGATTGTTTAATAACTTTCATATCTTTTCTAAGACCTTGACGTGTTTGAAAAAGTATGTATAATATAAAATCATTAGCACAAATGATATTTGTCCTTTCGTAATAGCTCAACGCCTCCAAGAAGCATGTACTCCATAATGAACTCTTGATGCGTGTATCAAATATAATTTTCATTTCTCGGTTGGTAGAGCAAGATTTAGATATTTACTAGCACTCCAGGCGAAACGGTATGCCTTGTGATGTCATAATAAAATTTCTATGTGGGTTGTGGTAGGTCCAGATATTCTAGCTTTACGCAATCATTATTTCTATGTAATCTCCACTTCGACTTGGACTCCAAAGCAAACAATAAAAATTATTTCAATACGCACTCACCTTACAATCGTATCGGTCACGCTGACATTTTTTCGGTTTATTTGTTACGATTGTATTGATAAAATTCATTCTGACATAAACCAATGTTTAATCGACACACATTAATTACTTTAAAGTAATTCTAACACCTCTAGATGGTGTGTGAAAAATACGTAGGCGTTAATTTGTTGTAGAGAGGAAATAGAATTCAAACATTAATCGCAATTAAAATGGCCAACGACTTTGATCTATGGTGATATTACATTCTCAATTATTTTAGTTCCATATCCGGGTGTCGAAAGCTGATTCATTACATCAGGTGATCACGCCTGCGATCGACATATCAGGAATAATTGCTCCGATATTCAGAATTAATTAATCTTGTTTGAAACATATAATACCTGTTGTATTAAATAAATATCCTTTAGATATTTCATAAAAATTACAATAGGATTATTGAATTAAAAGATTAATGAAATAATTTACAGTAGAAATTTATTTTCTCTACAACTTTTACTTTAGATTGAATCAAATTATTATTTTCAATTCCAAACTAAAATATTCAACACAAATTTTTCATAGTTAGCGAAGTATACTGATAGTTCAAAAATAGTTTTGCTATAAAAAATATTTTTAACAATATTTATAGTTGATAATTTTATTGAAAAGATATTGAAAGACATGCAAACTATTCTAGTGAGTAGTAATATATTTTTTTTAATAAAAAAAATTGAATATACAGCAGGGTGGAATCTTTTGAGAGTGGGTGAGAAAAACGAAAAATAAAGATTTCTCAAGTCTTTGACCTGAGGGTGTAAAGACATCTGTGAAATTCGAATCTAAAAATTAATATAATTCCAAACTTTATCCCAAATCCATTTTCAATCATTTCTTTTATTCAATCATCAACTCCATTCACTTCTTTCATGTATTTAATCAAACTTATGATAATATCTTCATACTTTAGTTTGTTTCAAACAAATAAAATTTTCTTAAAGTTTAATTACATTCATTCAATATTATCTTTGTATATTAAATAACAATTACATCAATCAATTGAGTTTTTTATTATCACACATTGTCGCCTACTTGTATTTTTCTCTTGACTCTTTTTCTTTTAATGTTTGCCTTAATATGTCACGCTGAAAATCTATTTCAACGCCTCTACCGCTGTGACTTGGCTTTCTTTTTTTTTTATTTATGTCTCAACAAATATCCACAAATGCTCTTTGACATTTTGAAATTATTTCTCACCCTCAACACACTAGGAAGAACAAAACAACGAGAAATGGTAAAAAAAATGTCTCGTTTTTTGAATAGTAAAATATGATGAATAACAAAACACAACATAAATACGATGCAAGATAGAAAATAGGGAAAAATAGGTATCGATTATTTTATTTTCTTAGGGTAGTAGAAAAATCGGGGCTAAATCATCGGGATAAGAGGCCAACTAGTGTTATAACGAGGGCGCAAGAAGAATCCGTAGAAGACAGAGTAGGGAAAGGAGAAAGAATAAAACGAGCAAAGAGCCAAGCCAAAGGACTCGTAGAGGGTGGAGTTGCGTCATGGACTGTAGAGAGACAGAGTTGGAGAGTAGTAGAATGGGGCAACGAGGGTATAGAGGGATGTTCTTGGGAGAGTGAGACCTGCGCGCGAATTTCCCGCGTTCGACCAACCTCATATTGATCCCATCCCCTTGCTCGTACCAACACCCCTTGTATGAGTTCATCACACAGAATCGCAGATTCGCGGGCTCCGGATGGTCCAGCAACGTCGTCTCTTGCTTTTCAATCGAAACGTTGTGTGTATAAAAACACTCCATTATTATTTTTTCTATTTTACATTTGTTCACAACATCAAACGCATTTGTTTTATTCTTAAAATTCATTCACCCTCAAATTCTCTAGTTAATCCGATTAAAACCCCCATAAAATTCTAGATATTTGTTTTTTACTCCAACCAGTGAAAGTGTGCGATTGAAAACAATTATTAGTCTTAACTTTGACAAAAAAAAACTGATTTTTTTTAATCAAGAAAGAAGATGAAGAATAAAAATCTGTTGGTTTTGATAATGAATTTATCTAATTAACTTTTGTTTCTTTATTGTGTGAAATCCATGGAATTATCAAGAATAAATTGACTGCAAGAATTGGTGATAAAATTGAGGAAATAAGTCAACAATAACTTTGATAAAATAAAGTTAAATGTAATTAACTAAGGAAAGTGAGTTAATTGTATTAGTTAGCAAATAAAAGGGTTTGTATCGTGTATGTGGATAAATTTATTAGGTATATACAATATAGAAATTCTAGTAACCTTGTTTATGACTTGAAAAGACTTGAGTAATGAGCTGGGACACGCGCCACGTTTTATTTGTATGGCTACGTAAATTGGTAGAGGAGTAATAAGATATCCGATAGATCTATTACGTTTGATGATCAGTCAATGTTGGATATTCTTTGACGATAAATATTTTATAGACATTTAAGGTTGGTTTATTTTAAAACGGGTTGTTCATGTACCAAAGCAACAGTCTGATTCTTGTTCACTTGGACAACCGTTAGCAGATATACATACACAATTTATCCCTAGTGATACCGTTAAATACATTTCGTAGTTATCAATCAGATCATTTGAACATTTCGTCGACATGTTGTGTTGCTTGTACGTTTAATCAGTTAGAAACATATTTTTTTTTATTTATCTCTAACTGCTAAAAGTAATTTTCTAACTGATTTATTTTGATAGATGTTACTAAGTAGGTTTTTTTTTGTTGATAGTAATTATTTAATTTTCATTATCTTGGTTTAATTTATTTTGAAGTATTTAAATATTAATGTTATTTGATGATTGGACATGGAAATATTAATGTGATAATTGTGGTGATTTTGATGATATTCATTCATATGTCATTTCAAACCAATTTATCTAGCTTTTTTGATGATGAATGATAGGAAATAATATATTTGAACGAGTTTACAACTCAATCTTTGTTTAAAATTTCATCATTTGTCATATAGACTCTTTTTCTTCGATTTCAATCTCGTGATGATATACACACAAATGGTAGACAATCGAGGTTAACATAACCAAAACTAATCTTTTATTTTTCTTCAATCTTCTGCTCATTCTCTCATTTTCTTATCATCTCCGTTGTCGAAGTATTGATAAAAAGAATAGGAGAAAATTTCTATCATCATAATACAAATACTCTAAAAGCCAGACAATGTTGAGGAAATGTTTTTATATACATTGAAATTGTATCTGTTAGTTTGTATGCATGACATCGGTTTCAATTTTTTGTTTTGTTTATATGGAAAATAAAATTAAAAAAAAAACCTCGTAAATAGTGCATATATGCATAGCAAATAGAAT